GGCTGACGCACCGCAGATTCCAGCACTCCTCCGAGTTTGTGTCTAGAGGCTTTTCTCAAAACCCGTCTAGCACACTGTGCTCTGTCCTTTTAGCGAAATAATGCACTCGTTGCCTTTTAGTATGACTTCAAACAGGAAATGTTGTTTAACTTCCTCTTTTTCCCTCTCGTCGTTTATGGGCACACGCTCAAGCCACCCGACTAACTGCAAGAGTGCTTCACAAGACCTTTATTAGTGTGCAGACGACGTGTCGCTTTTCAGTTCCCCTTTTTTTAACAGCTTAAGTTCTCGGATGATTTTCGAAAAGGTAAGGGAGAGAACTGTGTGTGGCAGACCCTAGTGAGCGACGTGAGGGGCGATGTCGTAAAGGTGCTGCGTGAAGCTCTGCTCCATTACTATCTAATCTAAAAGTGAAGTGGTACACAAATTTTTTTTAAAAACACGACCCGCAAAATAATGCGCAGTTGGCTGCGATCCTTAAAGAACAGCTGCGGGGGCCAGTCTCGTACCCCTGATCTGTTCTGACCCCTTTTGTTGACAAGGACTATGACTTTTGTTTTGTGTTTTGTCATGCACTTTTGAAGCGTTTGAGATGGTAAAAGAAATCTTGATTTTAGGGTTGTCAGTGGCCCTTTAAAACAAATACTCACTCAAACAACCGGGCACCAGTTACTTCAGGCATCTCAAGATCATAGTAGAGGCCACTACACTCACTTTACTGCAAAGCAAACGAAGGATGTTTCTCATCTGCAGTGGTGGGGATCTCGAAGTTCTTCATCTGACACCTTTTTGTCTTTGTCATGGTCGCACACAAGATCTACAGTTTCAGCATCCGTGATGGAAGCAACAGTTGAAATGTCCGCATTTACGAAGCAAGAACGAATCAGTCATCCCGGTGTGCTTCACCAACGATTTCATGCACACTTCTGCAGAGGTCATCACAGCTCTGGGAGTCACCCGCTTACTTGTCAAGCATTCACATGAGGAATCCAGTACAGTCTAGACCACATATAACGTATGTCGCTGGAGTCGCGAAAATCCGCACTATAAGCGGTACCGTGCTATAACCAAAACATCAATTTTTCGGGCCAAAATACATGCCATGAGACAACTTACCTTTGTAAAAATTTATTTTATGTTAGATGAAAAATAAAGCTTAGTTTGAGGAAAGTCTTTATTTCACCAGACTAGTACACTTCTCTCTCAAGTGTGTCACACATTTTGAAAGAAATGAGCGACTTTTGCCTGGCGCAGCCTTTTAACGGCGTCGCGGATTGCGGACGGACGTTGCGAGCGTTCAGGATTGCTAACCCCAATCACTTTTCTCCAGCGATGAAAACGCGTGAAAATTCGCATCCTTTATACGGTACACACCAGTAATACCTTCAACTTGAGCACAGGCATGAAATGCTCCAAATAAGAAATCCGGGCGATGTTCGAAAACACAAATGCTTAGAAAGCACCATTGTAGTCAAAGTAAACAAACACGACGACACTGGCGTTTCTACTGTCTTGAGAGTGCCGCCACGACATCGCCGCTCGAGTAGGTGGATCTTCCCTTTTAATACGTGCTGGGTTATCATAGCGACACACAACGAAAATTCACAGTCAAGGATAGCACTTTTACGCGGAACGATGAGCTCCCACCACGCGACGATCACAATTGACGCCATGTTTGCGGATAGAAGCAGCCGGCCCGCAACCGGCATGGAACACGCGCGAACACTTCTCCTCGATCTGTGATTGGGACGCACCTGCGACCTGCGATTGGGACCTGTGTGTGGGACGCATGCACGTGAACGACACGTGCGTGTGCGTCCCTTCGTCGCTATGGCAACTGAAGCCTCTCTCTTCGCTTCTCCCCGCTCCTTCGAGCCACGACCAACTCTATCTTCGAGCAACCTCCTTGCCCCGCGAGTGCCGCTTGCGGCTCGCGCCGTTATCTAGTGTCGCACAGGGAAGCGTGCTCGCTGCGCCGGCCAGAAACCGCACTATAACCGGTATTTCCCTTTGCGCGCCTGCATTTTAAGCGGTATGTAATTACATGGAGTTCTATGGGAGGCGAACCGGTGGTTTAAAAAAGCCGCGTTATACCCGGTCCTGCACTATAAGCGGTTACGTTGTAAGTGGTCTATACTGTATGCGCGAAGCTAAACCTGGCCACCAGGCAGAAGTCGTGGCAGACGTTCAGATAGAGACGCAAGTTGGCTGCTATGAGCACCGTATGTGGCGTTGGAACTTGGGCATTGCTCCCTGGCCTCACTGGCTGCATCACCGTGTCAGTGGGAAAAAAGGGCATAAGTGGCCGCGCATGCTGCCGCACAGCGTGCTTCATCACTTTTTCTTGTTTCGCTGGAAAAGGTGAAGGGAAAGCAGAGGTTGCCCTTGGTCCTTTCGTGCACCTCAGCAGGCTTAGAGGGGCAGTGCAATGATTTTGATGTTGGAATAATTGGCAGTTTGCATTTTTTATATTGTTTATGCAAGCCCAAGTGACCAAAAACGCGTCACCTTTCCCCGAAAAGCTGCTGCTGCGTATTCGCAAAGCAAAAAGTGAATTATTTGGCAATCTGCAGCCGCCTGTCGGGGTTACGGGAACTAAAACGACACCGTCTCTGGGGGATATGCGGAAGTCAACAAAACCTGTCCCCCTCCGCTGCTACACTCGCCGTCAGCCCCGTGGCAAACCGTCCTTTGTTCGATCGCTCGCCACGACCTTCGACGAGGCTAATCCTTTGAAAGTCGACAATCGCGGAGGAAGCGGCTGGTCTCTAAAGAGAGGACCCAAGGGGAAACCACGTGGACCCCCAGAGTAGTATGTGACTCGGAAGTCGACGTAGGGAGTTGAGAGCCACTTTGACCTTCGATTTGTTTCATTTTTTTTTTTAAATAAGAACTAGCGCTCGCAAGAAAATACGGTTTTCTGCTTTTTGTTTCATAGGTGACGCAGATTAATTTCCGCAGTTAATTGGCCAAAGTCTGAAAATTGTTGCACAGCCGTTTTTGGCCTCTTTTTCTTTGTGATAAGCGTAATTGGGCTCTGACACACTTAGAATAATAAGTTTACCTCTGGCGTAGACCCCCAAAACATGATTTTGAGATAAGATATTTACAATACCACACGAGGCATTAAAAAAAGAAGCCGACGCATCACAATTCGGGGTCACTTCCTTCAGTAAAGACCGTCGTAACCCTAAAATCGATCAAATTTACCGGGTTACCCTTTAATGGAAAGCGTTTATATATAGCACACCGCTAAACGGTTGTTAAGATTACCTGTAAGCATTTTTTAAAGTGAACAGACTGACATAAAGAGAGAATAGGCAGCCATCTTCCCAGTCTTTGCATAAACAAATATGCAATGTAAAGCTTGCCACGGTAGTCTTTTGTTGGTTGTAGATTAAAGGCCATTTCGTACGTTCCATTGTGACCAGGTGCATATTGTGTTTTTACGTTTGTGACTGCTTATGACGAGACAGCTTACTGGCACCACCTATCCGGTAGCTCTGCAGCACTTCCAACTGCCATATATCTAAACTCAAGTTTTTGTAGTCCATTTTACGAGATCAAATCTCTGCTGTGAGAAATAGTCGCTTATAACATTGTCAGAGGTATTTCAAGTCCACGGTGAACCAAAGTAGGAATTAAAATTGACGGCGACCTTTATCTCCAAGATCCTATAATGCAGGGTTCTCAACCTCGTCTGGATATGGGGGCCAAATATCCCACACCAGAAAGGTCGAGGGCCAATATAAGGCCAAGAGAGGGAGGGCGAGGAGAAAATTTGATAGGGCTCGTGCTTTCTGCGTGTACCATCTTTAGGTTAGATTTGTTTGTAGGGCTACTTTAGGCACTTACCTGATGCGATAACGAGAGTTGAAACGATACCGCCTTGCCACCGTGCCTGCATTTTTGATAGAACAAGAGAGAAGGCACACTCTAGTTCCCGTGGCTCCGTTCACTTGGGTATTAATCAAACTCAATGTGTCTCGAAACAAAATACTTAACGCGACAGTTCTAGTTTTCTGACGATTTTTAGAGCAGCAGTTTTTGTAGTTTAGATACAATGATAATCGGTTAGAATTATTGCTTTTCCGGGTTTTCTCGTTATTGTCAAAAGTGGATTGCACTGTAATGCATGAAATACACTATAGTTGAGGAGCAGCTATTCACCTTTGTTTAGAAGACATTAAATTGTTGTTTCGGGGAGTGAAGAACATTCATTTGCCCGCTAAATTTAGTGGGGAAACTTGTCGCGATGTCTTGTGACGTCAAGTCATGTAATATTAATTTTCCCGCCAAATTTGGCGGGGCAGTTGAATTGATGTGTAGGTCACATAGCTCCAGGTCTCGTGACCACGATTTTCCCCCCTAAACTTAGCGGAGAAACTGAATTCGTGTATGGATCTCGTGACGTCAGGTTCGTGACAATTTCCCCGCCAAATGTAGTGGGGAAACTTAATTAGTGTATTGGCGTCTTTTGTCGCGTGTTTTCAGAGCTACTTTCACTGCTTTGTCTTTAGACCACTTGGCACTGTGAATATCTAATTCGCTCGAGATTGCTGGCGAGCGAACCTGCCGCCACAGCTTTCTGTCCTAGCCGCTTGGTGCCACCAATTTCGCCGAGTCGCCGATAGGTCTTGCGCCGTCGGGTTACGTGAAGTCAAGTTTTTCGCTAAATTTAACGGTGAAACTGACATCATGTTTAGGTCACATGATGTCCATATCCCCACTGAATTTAGTGGAAAATGCCCAAACCAATGAATGGGCAGAAAATATTTTGGAATTGGGGGTTCTGTTTCAAAGCATATCATGCTTTAATACATGTATATTCGGATGGGGACTGTTCTAGGGCTACCCGACAGATTGTGCCAGTGTGTATTCTCTCGTTGTGACTGGTCGCAATCGGGCACAATGCCCCCGGCCACGCTCATAATGCAAATGTGTGAACTATGCAGATCAGCTAGACGTATTGCAAGCATTCTTGCACTTTGTCGTAACAGGTGGTCGCGGCGGGGGGCGATCCGAATGTCTACCACTGGAGCTTCAGCGGAGACCTGAAAGCCAAGGTGGAGACGTCCGCATCCAACCTCTACAGCATCGCGCTCAACGAGGAGGCCCCATACAAGGTGAGACACTCTGCTGTTTTATGCAGAGGTGCATGTCCTCCAGCACACTTGCTTTTGCTCAAAACCTTGATCTGTCATAATAGCACTGCTCTGACCTCTTGTTTGCTGGTGTTTTGATGGCTTGCAGTACTCATAAAATGTGTGCCCCGGCTCAGGACAGCCTAGAAAGCTAGATTGACACTTTTTAACGAGCACCTGTCGATATTCTGCACCTCGGAGATGAAACAGTGCTGCGGGAGCTTAACTTTAGATATCCAACTGCCGCTGCCCAACTTCTGCTGTCATCCAGAGTACAAGCAGCAAAAGCAATTAAATTGTGCAATCGAGGCTATCTTTGTAGCTGTCCCCAGTGTCAGCAGGACGCTGTCTAACAAGTGCCACCGTCGTGCAGAGATTTATTTCTGATAGCGCCCCAGCTTGAGAGAAAGTGCAAAACAAAATCGAAATTGGAAGCTGTAGTTTCTTCACCTATGCTGGATATAGCGTGTGTCCCTACAGGCCAAATTCAAATTTCAGCAGCGCATGAAATCCATCGATGAGGGGTGATCGGTGGCCAATGAGTTGGTATGGAAAGAGCTAATGGTGCATTGAACAGAATACCCAAGCCTGTTTCTTCAGTCTTTGAGATGCACATTTTCCAGAAATATGAAATTGGACGGTACACTTTTCTATGAAAGGGTGTTCAGGGAGTAGTGCATCTACTCCTTGGGGATCATGATTCCCTTGCATATATCAAAACTCTCATTTGGTTTATATTCTTATGGGATGCTTTGGTTGTTTTATAGGAAATTAGAGTTTGAATGTTTCTTCTCTCTAAAGGCATTACCTATAACATGGTTTGGTTTTTATAGAGATTTTTGTTTCATAGTAGTTAACATAACGAGTACCTCTATTTTGCTGAAAATTTGGCATCTTTATGTTCTCTGTGGTGTCTACCAAGAGTTAGACTATTTTAGGTAACATGGAAAATTCAGGTAACTTTTCATGAAATTTACCAGAAATATAGCCAAAGTTATAAAAAGTTGCAGTTTATTGCATCTCTATGTTTTTATCTAGATTTCACAAGCATGACTGCTCACCATCAGTCTAGAGACTCAAGTATTATTGGATGTTCCAACTGCTGACCACGATTCACTTTAGTGTCCACGGAGTCACCTTTAAGGAACACTGGCACCCCCCAAAAATGTTTTTCATTTTATGCCAGGCGGTTCATTATGGTGTTGGAAGACTACCCAATTAATATTTTGCAACAGAGTAGCGTATATTTTTAATAAAGCCAAACGACGCAACTGCTCGAAACCAAAACTGAAACCCGCGCAGTGGAGAGGAGAGAGTGAGTGGCAGAAGTCATGTAACTACACCCAACCGGGCACTTTTTTTTTTTCTTTTGTGCAGCAGACAATCTGTGTGGCGGGAACTGTTTGCCTTGCGATTCCTTTGCAGTTATGTTTGTTCCGCTCGCTGTTCTGTACTTCAAGATGACTTGTTTTGTGCATTGAGAAGTTGGAGACGAGTAGTGAGCGCCTGTGGTGAATTTCCGTGATTGGCTCCAAAAAGACTACCCCCAAGATGTTGCGTGAAGAGCTGCCTTACATGTCCTACGTCCGAAAAAAAGTGGCATTGTGCGGAAGAAGTCTGCTCAAGTTTCCGAAAGATCAACGGGATCGCGACCAATGGCTGGCTACAATTCCTGTAGAACATTTATAAGCACCTTGGAAGGCGGACGCTACCTGATTTTTATGCTCCTTGCATTTTGTGGAAAGTGATTACATTGAGTTCGCAGGTGTCCAAAAGGAAATCCCACACCATTTAGTTCAACAACGTTTCGTTCACAGCATTTTTTTTTTTTTTCAGTGATAATTGTAAAAAGGAAATGTAAATATCGCAAAATGTTTGAAAAAAAAAACACAAGAAAACGGTACGCTTACATTGGGGGTTGAACCTGGTTCCGCCGCGTGTGAAGTGGACATCTTTCTACTGAGCTACTGGGGGAACTCTTTTGTTAGTAATAATGCAGCCGGACAAATGTAGGTTGCTAAGTTTGCTGCCGATTTTCCTCCAGCAAAAGGACTCCCGGGTCAAAGTTGGACAGCACCACGCATTGGCCACATTCGCACCTAGTAAAGAAAGCGTACGCATGCATATTCAACTTGAAGTATGCACTTCGTGCTTGACGTTTGCGCAAGCGATGTCTTCAGCCACGAGAAGGGGGTGACGGCTCGGCGATGTCTTTGTGCAAATCGGCTTGGTGGTCGGGCCTGTCGTACGAGATGAATACCAATTATTTTGATCTGTCCCAAAATTCTCTTTCAAAGGCAGACAAAATTCGCCAGTACCGCGAACGACACTTCTGAAGTAGAGGCCCCACGCCCGTCGTCATCGCCGTTCTTGCGAGTCCCACGATACGCGAAACGACGCCATGTTAAGAATTACGCAGTGAATGCACAGGATGCTTCCGCTTTTCTGTGCAACTTTTTTTTCAATCAACCTATTTGCAGCTTTTTAGAAGCCACAAAAAATCGGTTTCATATTTTTTTCTATTTTTAATATTGTGTGTGTGCCTTCAATGACCCACGACTTTGATTAAATTTGGTGGTTGTGTCTAAGCCTTAGAAAATGGCCAGTGACCACAGAAAAGAGAGTGACCATGACTCAAACCGGCTAGTTCTTGATCGGCGGTTTTTGGGCTGAAAGAAACCGAATTTCGAGCCACTAATTCTGTTCTGGGCAGTTAAGCCCTCATATGTCGCATACAACTAAAAACCTCAGCGAGCATAAATAATAAACTTGGAAACGGCGCGAAGAAAACAAAAGACAAGAACGAGAAGTGAACGAACACAACGTTAACTTCTCGTTTTTGTCCTTTTTTTTTCGCGCTGTTTCCAAGTTTTCATTATGCACCAACTAGCCGAACTTCACGCCTTGTTGGAGCATAAATACCCTGTTAGTGCCCCTTTAAAGGGAAGCAGAAGTGCTTTTCAAGAAAATGAGTTAATGGTTGATTCTGACGCGTTTGTGGCTGCTGAGTCCAAATATCACAACCGTTTGACCCAAAATAGTCACTGAACGAAAAGAAAAAAAACGCAAAAAAACAGAAGCGATTGTCGCAGCGGCACGCCATTGGCTAGTCACGCGTAACGCGCCACTACGTCCATAAAAGGTCCATCTCAATTCTCGCTTGCTCCGTCGCTTGCCGTAGTAGTCAGGCGCCGAGGCTTCTGCCCTTTTAAATCGGGTTCGGCATCTAATTTTTTAAATCCTTCGGTGGATCCGAAAGAGGAATGTGTCCAGAGGACCCTCTACGTGACAAAGTATGCATTCCAGCCGTTGGCAAAGCAGAAAAATGACCCTTCGCGGTAATACGGGCAGACACGAGGAACCGCTTGCGCCGACGCAACATTGCCGGCTTCATACGTTATGGAACATACTGGCTGCCACTTATTGGAACGTAAGTTGTGACAATAAACGGAGTGCTATTGACGGGACGCATCAGGCCGGATTAGCGTGACCCTCTCGAAAACGGTTGTCAAAGGACAAGAATTTGGCACACATCGGCCTTCATGCTTGACAGCTGCTGGACACATGAGCGTGCAGGCTGCATTGTTCACCCAGGCTGAAGTGGTTTGAAGGGATAGTATAATCGGTGTGGAATTACGGGAGAGTTCCTCCCAAGATGAGACAGGGGATGAGACAGGGTCGCCATTCTGCCACCGCCATGTCCTTGCGTACTACGCGAATAACTGCGCATAGTGTCTATCCTTTGTATAGTGGTACCCTCTACTGCGTTCTCTTTGTTTGCCATCAATTATTACTCAGTTACAGCTTTAGAAAAAACAGATGTGTGCGCGACAGCCCTCAATTTGATGTCGAATTCGTGAAAGCTTCCTGGGCCCCTACATTCACACACACCTCCCATGATTTGTTGACAGCATTAGGCCACCACCAAGCATTATCATCGTCCGATTGCATTTCTACGGCACAAAGAACCATTGCATGGCACACAAACTTCATTCAAAACACACTGCTTAACTTGTAAAAAAAGAACAAAAAAACTCAATTTACAACAGAATGTCACATGCTTTGCATCTCCAAAAAGCGCTCATGAAGAGAACATGTATGTACCCATGGAAGGAAAATTTAACAAAATGCTTGTTTACATTTAAAAAATATGTGACCTCAAATAGTATGAGCAACTGTACAAAAAAAAAGGTCAATGTAAACCAAGTTGCACCATGAAAGTCTCCCAAGTGACTAAGTAACAAAATAGGTTAAAAAAAAACAGATTTGGGTAACAGAGTTGGTCCGGCAAATATGGTCACTTCAACGATATAAAAAGAAACCAAAACTAAAGCTCTAATATACGGAGGTTAACACAAAAGAGCCAGCGGAAGCCTGCCATTTTGGCTACATGATCGTGGCAGGTTTCCAATACCTGCACACAACTAGTAACGTAATAGCTTTTTCTAGAACAGTCGACCTATAATTCCTACCTAGTGTCGTCTGCGCTTTGAGTGTACCTTTTTATGCGTTGAATTGCCTTCTTACCTTCAAAGATGGTCGGCAGAGTGTCGGGTTCAGGCGAGCCTTCTTCAGACCCAAACCTATGTGTACATTGTTTTCATATGCGTCGTCTGGAACAAGTTCCCAACAGAAAACAAGATACTCGCTCAAACTCGTCTGTTTCCATAGCGGGAACCTATCCCTTTGAAATCTCGGTGGGTGGGGGGGGGGGAAGGGCGGTAAGCGGGAAGTACAACTGCAACAAGCGCTGTTCGTGCAAGTCGACGGCTACACATGAGTACGGCATGTTGCAGCAGCACAAATCAGTTGCTTCGGTGCCACGAGAATTCCGCAAACCCGTGAACAAACGAGAACAATCAACACGTCAGGCGATTGAGTCAATAGAGAGTTTTAGTAGATTGTGTTTTCGGGTCACGCTATTTGTAGCGGGAGCTCGCGTTGCCACTTTGATGCATGCTCTGAAGCACGCGACCGTAGCGGTACTGGGCCTTTGAAAACGGTCTACTAAAACTTCCCATTAGTACGACCGGTCAACGGATAAAAGCGAGCACTATGCGGAGGTAAATGACGACAGCTCGAAACGTCTTTAGAGCCTACGTGGGAGGCGGCGCGGTCAGCTGCGGCAGGGTCCCCCAGCCGGACCTTTTGTGACGTCAGCCGACGGACTTCCTCCTCTCTCCCCTTTCCCTCTGCTTCGGAAAGGCGTGGCTTCAGCACTACTTTGAAGGCGCTTTTTCGGTTAATCCGCGCGCAAAAAGACCAAAATAATTTGATACTCGTAATGGCTGAGGTCTAATTAATCAGGCTCGGGTGTTTTTTCTCATATTTAAAACCGCTTCAGCTTTCCTTTAATGAGACGTCAAAGTGTTTTTCTGAAGATTAATTTTGCAATTGTGACAAGTAGCTGAGACCCCAGATAATATGGACCATGCCCCAGCATGTACAGACAGCTTCTTGCCCCAGAAATCATTAAAATAGAAAATTCATCTATCAAATCATAGGCGTGGCCCCGGTTGCCACAGACGATGGAAACATGCCTGCTATCTTTCTCTGCTTCGAGAGTGCTGGGAGCCCTGGAGAAAGTGACGATTCAATCTTCAAGTTCAATTCAATTGTCACCTCAGGTCTGCAGGAGATGTTTTCGGTTTTGGTGGTTGGTGCTTGTCTTTGAAGTTTCTATTTCTTGAAAAAACGGGTGGCTTAGAAAATGTGAAAAAAATAAAGGCAGTGCAAATTTTTTTTCAAAAAGCTTTTTTCTACAATTTTTGAAAAAAGATTGCACCTCGGTTTTAAATAAACTGTCATTGATTTTGATTAAGAAGATAATTGTTTTTAGAAAAAGAAAATAATTTTTCTACTTTTATGTATTGTGGTTCCGCAACTAATAGTGTATACTCCTGCAAATTTTTATTGCAATATCTCGAGTATTTAGGGAGAAATAAAATCTTTTCTGTTAGCCAAGGATGCAAAATCACGTTTTTTAAACGTGAACCTTTTGTTTCCTGTTTCCAAACTGCTGTAGCTTTGCACTGGTATGCCCTAGAATGATGATCATACTCTCATTGGAAAGAACAATTCTTCACAGTTTCAGTACACTAAATATCTTTGTTCAAGATTAAACTCTATTCGGGCAAGAACACCAAAGAAGTCAAGTTTCATGTGGAAGAGGCTATGCATACGGCCAAGAATTGAAAAGCCCACCCTGACTGAACACAAAACTGACTAAAACCAGCATTCATTTATAGAAAGTCACGTGGGTTTGTCTGCTTTGTATTTGGATGATGCTTGCCCCACCCATACTTACTGATGTTGGTTCGTGTATTGCAAGAATACCCAATTCCTCACTCATTTCACAATCAATGTCCACATGCCAACAACAAAATGACACTCAAAAAAAGTTTTAAGCTCGGACTCACTCAGCAAAGCCATGCTAGAGATTTGGTGTAAGCAGAAAGAACCATCTACGCTCTTGGTGCCTTTTAGTTGCTTCCACCACCAGTAAAAGCAGATGTAGTGGTGTGGAAACTTGAAATTGGTATTTTCTCAGTTTTCTCTCTTTTTTACAGCAACATTCGTTTTCGGAAATCTATCATTTCAGTGAACTGCCAAGTTCATTCTTTGCTGTGGATGTTCCTGAACTGAAATTTAATGAGGAAGGGGGCTAGATATTTATTTTTCTATTTAAGTAAAGTTTTTATTGCCAAAAAGTAGAGTTTTGATGAGGAGACAATGCCCCATTATGAGGAATGCTTTTCAAATTGACATTTTGCATAGAAATAATGCGCATTTTAAGGTAAAAAATAGATAGCCCCACCCGCCATATGTTCTAGTTAAGGCTGAAGCTTAGAAATGCTCAATATTCTCGAGCAATTTTATATGATAGATTTCCTTGCCAAGTGAGGCGACTTACATCGATAGCTCTGTACCTCCTCCCTTTGTAGCTTATTGGAAAATAGTCCTACAGAGATGAAATTTCATAGAGTGCATTTAGGCGAGATGAACAGGCCCTCAAAATTTCATCAATATTCAGCAACTGGTTTAAAAGTCGACACTTGAAGGTGGTGTCACCCCTTAAGATAGCCAAGAAGAGACTAGAAACGTCCAGGAAATTTTGGAATTGGTGTTCATGAGGTTCTTTAATGTCAAACTACAAGCACTGGCACGGACGGACGAAGACATTGGAATCCTTAGTCATATTTTTGATAAGGAAACTGAGTACATGTGCTGATAATTTGAGGATTGTTTGAAATTCTTGGGGCACTTTGATTTAGTTGGCATCCCATAAAATTGAGGTCAGAAACCTCTTTTCAGCACATTTTAGGATATTGGGTTTTTATTCTGATGTGTGTTACCATTTCTTTCAGGGCCTTTGTGCTGCTGGGTCAAGCCACAAGATCCTTGTTTGCACAAACTTTTTGTACAGAGATTTTTTCCTGAGGTTTTAGTACCTCTTTTGCTCTCCATCCTGTTTGGGTTGTCATATTCTCTTGAATTTTGGTCATGAATTTATAAATTGCCCTGCCTAATGACATCAGTCTGATGCAAAGACTGGTAGATGTCCACCATCATACTACAGAGTCGCTGCACCACATTGGCTCCATGCATTCATGATTTGAATAAACTCATTGCTTGTGCTGTACAACCCCTCATCTCTGTATAACTCAGTGTTTCATAAGTCTTGTAGAAGTTTCCTTTTTACATCTAAGAGACATTTATTACAAAAAGTGAAGCTGACAAAAAGGTGAGAATGTAGGCCTGTTGCTGTTGCTTTGACATGATTCAAACTACATAGAAACTAGAAGATATTATAAATCATCTTGTTCTGTAGTTCTCATTTTGATCCTTATCTTATCCTGTAGTTTTCAGTTTTCTATGCATGTTAAGAGACCTTGCTCAAAACAAACTCTGTATATTTGTAAATGTGTCAGGTTTTCATTTAAATGTGCTACATGTCACTTAAAAACCACCATGATGCTAAAAATTGTTTTTTTGCTACTTTCTGAACAAACTGGCAGTTTTATGTGGCACATCAAGTACCATAGAAATATTTCTTTATGAAAGCCACTTTTATAAAGAGATATTTTTATGGTATTTGGTGTGCCACATAAAACTGCCAGTTTGTTCGCAAAGTAGCAAAAAAAACAAGATTTTGATCATCATGTTGGTTTTTAAGTGACATGTAGCCGTTCTGAGCAAGGTCCTCTTCCTTGCATGATGCAAAGAAGGTGGAACAGAAGAGGTGTCAACGGGGTTTAGACCCTCTAAATTAGAAAAATAAGAAAAGCAAAAACAGTCACTTCCTTCGTTGACACTGAATGCAACTTTGGAAACTTACAATAATGTCACAGTGGTGTAATTTCACAAGGAAGAAAAAAGCACCATCCTCTCCCCCATCACAAGTGTTCATTTCCCGATTTTTTTCATCATGAATTGCCATGCCAGGCTGCATTGTCTGCTTTACATGTATAAAATACTTAGAAACTTTGGGTTGGCTGTTCTTACAGGAAAGACAACAGCAAGAAGCCAAAACCTTCAAACTTTTGATTCAGATATAGAACCGTCGATTCATGCATATAGGGTACGTAGAAGTAACATATCTGCCGTGCGTAGGTTTACCTCGTCCATCCAACTGAGAATGTCAAAAACTGTTGTACTTTTTTTAACCGCACATTTTTTTTATAATCTTAATTTTCTTTGAACTTGATCAAGTATTTTGTGCTTGCTCAGGCTTGTGCTTGACCCTGAAGTGATATTGCCTATCTGGAGTCTAAACCAAGCTTTTGGCAACATGTTGCTCTCATTCTTGAGGCTGCTCAACATATAGAATACACAGAAAGAATAAAACACATGAAGGACGAACACGCACACAGTTCTTTCATGTTTTATTCTTATGTGCACACAGTTCTTATGAAAGAACTGTTTGCGTCTGTGTTCGTCCTTCATGTGTTTTATTCTTTTTGTGTATTCTGTAGTTTTCAACGTGTGCTCAACATAGGCCGCCTTTCCAGGTATGACTCTTCTTACCTTGTTTGAATTTTCTTTCAATGCTTCTGAGGTGGTATGCTAACCTTTTGCATGGTGTACCAGGTGCTTCTGGTTGCACTTCATTGAGTATTTTTAGCGCAGAAAGAAGACGGCAATTAGTTCAGGCTTGTCTGTGCCTTTTTTGCTGTACGCAGTTTTGAAGAGTGCTGGATCCTTTCATGGCAGTGTTTGTTACTTGCCGAAGCAGCATAACTTGTTATTTTTATGAAAGGTCCAAGTTTACATTCTCCACGCAGTGATGCATACTGTTAAATGGTTAAACAATGTCGTATGATGAACCTCAATTTAAGAAACCATACCGCGTTGGTTTATATACTCGTGCATGGCTTGTACTTGATATCTTGCTGTGCAAGGAGTCATTCTTAGTTGTACTTGCCGAGAAAAAAATTTGTTGGTGCAAAGTGTACGCTGCAGAATGTACACACTCGGCAGCAAGACCACCACAATAGCCGCTGATATGACCAAAATAATTAATGAATTTATGAAACGACACAATGAGAACTGTAGGTGCATGCACCACAGCTGAAATGGTAGCAGAGAACAGTGTTGTACGGATTTCAATGAGCGGCTTTCAGGGCCCGTTTGCTCGAAGCACTAACCGCGGCTAAAGTTAGCCGCAGTACCTAGGAGAGGGATTTTGAAATCACGTGACTGGGCTCGGTAGGGATGCAGGGAAACATGGCGGTGCCCCGGTGAGTGAGCGCCGCTCGCTTTGGAACTAATATGTCGTTGAAGCTGCAATATCGGGCGCGCTAGTCAGCAGCGAATGGTACAGGAGGCCTTCGCTTTGCCTTACCTCACTGCTCGCAAAGCATGAGCAATGACCTCGCCGCATTTTTCTAGATTGTCTTTCGATTCTGGCCATTCCTAAGCCCAAAATGAACGCGATAATTGTCGGCATGGCAACGTCTTTGGAAAGTGTATCGCCTTGACTCAATCGGCCCCCAAGCACCGAGTGTAGTTACACGCGTTGCACGTGCTGGCGTCTGCAGTAGTAATTGTTCTAAAGCAAAAAGTCTAAACAAAATTTTGTTTTGCACGCGCGTTCGTCAAAGCCTTATTATGATTATTTACTTGGAATATTTTATAAGAGGAAGGCCAGCGAGCGCGAGCCGTGGAATTACACTTCCAGCGTTCTCCTTAATGCTTGGGTAATTCAGAAAAAGGTTTATTGGGACGCTGTCTGCTTTTGTGTTTGAGTCAAGGCAATCCGCTTTCCGAAGACGTTGCCATGCCAACAATTATCACGTTCATTTAGGCTTAAAAATGGCCAGAATCGAAAGACAATCTAGAAGAATGCGGCGGGGTCATTGCTCATGCTTTGCGAGCAGTGAGGTAAGGCAAAGCGAAGGCGTCCTGTACCATTCGGTGCTGACTAACGCGCCCGATATTGCAGCTACACGACGTATTAGTTCCAAAGCGAGCGGCGCTCACTCACAGGGGCACCGCCATGTTTCCCCGCATCCCTATCGAACCAATCACGTGATTAAAAAATCCCCCTTTTAGGTACTGCGGCTAACTTTAGCCGCGGTTAGCGCTTCGAGCAAATGGGCCCTGGGTCGCGTTTCTTCTAGGGTGGAAATAAGAACCCGATCACAATATTTTGAGCTCATGAAATCCGAACAGCTGCTGGTGCACAATGCGTGTATCGAACCAACACAATATTGTTTGCAGTCCTATTAGGGAATTTAAAGCGGCACTGACACCCCAAAGGTCGTATTTATTTTTATTGTCTAAAACGATGCAAGTTGCAGTCATAAACACGCAAAGAAAACCGCATCGCGAAAAAAAATTTTCCCGCGCGCGCGCGCGCCTTTTTATTTTTGGCGTTTGATTTTCCCGCCTCTCGCCTCCTCGCTTCTTTTGATCGGTGACGTCAAAAATCAGGAAATTTAGAAGCTTTGTAGGCGACATCTCTATAACATTTAATTACGGCAATCGTAAAACATGTTTTTTAACGCAATTGCGAACGCACTACGGCCCTTCTTTTTGACATACCAAAAATCGGGAGTTCGTTGTGGTGCCGTCTCCTGGATTTGTATCCTCCAACGGAAAACAGGCGACACCGCTCAAAACCGGTCCGCCGAAACGCCGGCAATCGCTCCTTTCCTCCTCGCTTTGGGTCGCCATGGTAACAGCAGGGAGGGGTGAAAGAAAGTCGACTCTCAGGTCTCCGCGATTTTTGACGTCAAGGCACCGGCGCCGATCGCGCGGGAACTTCGAATTCGGCATTTGGAAATTGTTTTTTTACTTCACAAATACTGAACTCCCAAATTTCAAATTTTGAGGGTAATGTCCCGGCATCGTTTTCAATCGTTTCGGATAATAAAAAAAAATATGATTTTGATGTGTCAGTGTCCCTTTAAGATATGTTTTGTGACATGCGCTACTGGCTAATTAACATGGATTAGCTAACTTTTTCAAATATTTTTGTGTGCCAACTCCAGTACAAAAGTTGGAGAGCGTGTTGAACGTTTTGTTCCCGTCAAGGTAGCCTTCGTTTGTCTATTTTTTCTAACAAAAAGAACGCGCAGTATGTAAAAAAAAATAATAATAATAACTCACGTGACTACTCTGAGCTGAGATGTTGGAACCCTTAAAGGACACGTGCAAAAAAAAAGTGTTTTTTAAACAGTTTAGATGGAAAAAGGATGTCATAAAACAATTTTGCAACGAAGAAAAAAAATTTAGAGCTATATTTACGGCGCTATACGAATTTGTAGTTGGCGCCCGCGGGCGCTGCGGAAAAGTGGCCCTTATTTATCACGTGGTGCTTGCACTCTTTCGGAAGCTTCTTATGGCGTCTAAGACTAAAAGTAACTTATTCATCTTTGAAGTGTAACACAAAGACTAAGATTAATAAGTAACTTTTAGAGCCCAAAGGAAACTCCCGAAAAAGCGCAAGCAGACGTGATAGACCTGTGCGCCGGTGAGATGTAGCGGCTCCCGCGGGCGCCAACTACAAATACCTTTTGCGCCGTAAATATAGCTCTAAATTGTTTTTCTTCGTTGTAAATTCGTTTTAAATTTTTTTTTCGATCTAGCCTGTTTAAAAAAAAGTTTTTTTTTTCCTTCGCATGTGTCATTTAAAGGGATGGTGCACCGAACATTTCAGTGTCTATAATAAGCGGCGCACTATCTTTTTTTGATGAGTCAGCAGCCCCTGGTGTGCGCGAGCACGCGCAGCGAAATTGACGCCATTATATCCCCCATTCACGCTTAAAGGAGCGGTGCAACGATATTCAATTGGAATGTTTTTCATTTGACCCGAGCTTACTGGCACACTTGGGACTCAAGGATACTCGCACGCAACGCCACTGGCCAAGAAACTTCTTTATTGCGGTGTAATTTCAAGGACAAAAGCGATCATTTTCATTCATTCTCTTCTTTGCAAAATTTGATGACGTAACGTGGGGATCAAAGTACACCCAAGTGACGATATTTGCATGCGGTTCATAGATTGGACCCGAGCATTGCGTGGGCACTCGACTTGGGCTCGTGATAATTGCTAGCTCGAGAAGCATTCGGGTAGTGACCCGTGTCCAATCGCTGCAACGACGACAACAGCCGAGCCATAACAATGTCTGGAACTCAGCG